AGGGAAAAGGCCTAGTGATGGTTGCCATGGTAAATATGGCACCCCGTCGCGTGCTAGCAGTCCCTTCCTCCCCCTCTTCTCCCCTTTTATTCACTGCTCTGTACTATTCCTCTCCACGCCGGATTTCCTTCTCTTGCACAAGATCACATGATTACCGCTATTTTGTCCACCATATCTACTGCTACGTCTTTCCCAAATCCAGATTTTCCCTTCCTGTTTCACTCCTCATTCCTCCTCTCACCCTTCCCTCCCCCATCCCTTCTTTACGCCACAGTGGTGTCCCTACAGGCTCAGACAGAACGCTGTGCAGAACAAGGCGACCTTCAAAGCATTATGACAGGCTGATTGGGTGGCACCTTGGACCGCAACGAGACACAACATCCTCAGCTTACCCCACTCATGTTAGACTCATGACACAACATCCCAGCATTCACTACTGTAGTGATGTATCACAAATACAATAATGATGTGATGTAACTGTAGTGTGCACTATTTATTATCTCCTCATGGATGTCAACATTCATCACGATCTGCTGTTTACACTACATTCAGCTACTGCAGTCATAATTACCTTTTTACAGCAAGTATGTATTGTGTGGTTTGTCAATATTTCCCTGTTGAATTAAAACTGTGAAACAATAAATTAGCCTACATATTTCTGAATCTCTCTGAAAATCAAGCAATTGCAGTTGGAAGTGATGACTAGAAACTTATGATGAATGATCGATTAACCTCTTCAAAACTGGAAAAACTTCACCTCATATACATTAACCATCTGTTACATAATTACTAATATCATCTCAGCATTTATTGCACTCTTCACCACTGCACTGTCTTATTTGGCTTTATATATATATATATATATATATACTCTTTTTGATTCTATTATATTTATATTTAATCTTGTACTTTTTGTACATTGAGAACTCAGTTACTGAGGACAAGTGTGTGTGTGTGTGTGTGTGTGTGTGTGTGTGTGTGTGTGTGTGTGTGTGTAAGCAGACATGGCCAATAAAGCTGATTCTGAAAAATAAATGACATTATCACAGAGTAAATAGACATTCCTATCATCCCCCATTATGTTTTACAGCTACATATTCATTAAAAATGATATATTGATATCTTCACAGCGTGAACATGATAATGATGATGATGATGGCGATGATGATAAATAGGCCTAGCTTTGGAGAAAATCAATTAAAATGTGAACATTGAATAGATGTGTTTGAGCATATCTGCTGGAAGTGAGGAGCTGTTTGTAGTACACTGTGTATAGTACAATAAGAGGAGAGTAATGAGCTAAGCCATCTCAGTTAACCCGAGTCGTAAAGTCACTGTCAAGTGGTGCCATGGACACAGGCTTACATCATCCCCTGGATGATTCAGAGGACGATTTCTCCCCTCAGACACGCTCACAAATGTTGATGGAACAATACAACAACTTGGTGAACTTATTGGACCTATCATCATTATTATTATTAGGCTATTATTATTGTCTCATACATATAGCCTAGAGTAGGCATGACAGGCTGCTTTTGCCTTCATTGTTTTTTTTTGTATTTTGTAATTAAGGCAATCGAAAAAAGAAATGGCTCACAAAACCAACTGGCATGGGAAACACAAAAGGAAACGCATTGAATAGCATTGATAGTAGGAGTTCATTTAATGTGAAACTGGGCTAAATAGCTAATTCGGTTAGTGTGTACACATCCCCCGTGTATGAGCACATTGTAGCCTACTTTCATTCCTGCATTCCCATATGCCCTCAGCAGTCTTATTTCATCTGCAGTGAAAAAAAAAAAAAAAAAAAAAAAAAAAAAACTACAACCTAAAAGCTCGCTTGAATAAACTCGAAGAACACCGAAACGAACAATAGAGTCAGCAATAAGCGAGGCTCCTACTACTCGAAGGCTGCCGAGGTGAGGTGCTATGTGGGGATGTACCGGTGCTGCTCACCTGTCAGGCTGTCGTAGCACTCGATCTCGGTGCTCTCCACGGCTCTCCGCTGATCCTCGGTCAGTTTGGCCGCCGGCTGGTTCAGCAGGTTGACCTCGGATCCGGTCGTCCCGTCGACAACATGCACTCCTTTGAGTTGCAGCAGCGCCCGGTGGTACTTGCCGATCGCCTCCCGAAATTTCTTCTCCTTGTAGCAGCGATGACCCTCCACCTTGAAGTCGATGGCTTTCTGGATCTTCGCCTCCATCTCTGTTTCGGCCGAGCTGACTCGAAGCCCGCCGCCACTGTCTATGCCGGCGGCTGCTGCCAGGCTCCGGCCACCGGTCTCTGGGTAGCTTTTTATGCTCTTTATCTGGTGCTGTTTGGCTTCCATGTCTCTCAGTGAAAGCGACTGGAGCGGGCCATGGTGCTCAGACACGAACGGGTGTTTTGTTGGGGAGGACCGGAGCAGCGTGCTGTGCATAAAGGATGCGGTATGGAGCGGCAATTACGGCTGAGCAGGCGGTGGCACCAGAGAGAAGATGAAAGAGCACCGCTTAGGAAACGTCTGCTTTAAAGATATGTTCAATAAGTGTTCAATATATTTGCAGGTATGAAGACATAAACAAGACTAGCCTATAAAAGCGTCTGAAACATCCTCAATAGCCCGACAACAGTCCGCTTTCAAGCCCGAGTCGTCGTCCTGGTCCTCTCGCGGAAGGATGCTCGTGTAGATTTCTATGGTAGCAGCCTCCGAGGCACGCGCAGCATCAGCACCACAAACAGCACACGCACACGACGACCCCTCCCGCGTGGCATTGTGGGTATAAAAAAAAAAAAGAGAGAAGTCGTGAGGCGTTGCTGCAGTCCAGATTTTACATTACAAAAAAACAAAAAAAAAAACGTGTATAAATATCAGTTCATGATGTGTTTTCGTGAAAATTAGACTTTATTTGTTAATAGTTTAAAATAAATATATGGATAATTAAATAAGAATACTTCTATCAATCAATTAATTATGTTTGCATAGGACCAACTGGCTATTTGGCAAAGGCTACGGGTTATTTGGGCTACATACAAGGTTGCCCTATACTTAAAAACAGCGTTATAAAAAAAAAAGATTACGTCACTCTTATTTTTTGGAAGTGACCAGTTGTCACCATTAAAAATAGGCTGATACAGCTTTTGCTTGAACTGAAATCCCCTCTATAAACATCAGATTGTGGTGGAACCGGAGCGCCTGATGACTTTAGCTGATAAGGTTTTTCCAAGGAGATACAGACGGACAGCAGGAGGCTGCAGGGGCCAGAGGAGGAAGAGTGAGAGAGCGACATCAAGGGGACATCGTTGCAATTACACCTGCAGAAAAATAGCTGGTATTTTGTCTTGGGGTAATACGTTACTCTCTGCAAAATTGTCGGATCTTTAGTGGGTTATTAATTAACTTCCTGCGGTTTAATAAGCATCTGTGAGGTGTTTTTCATGTTGCTCATTAGTAGCAGAGGAAAGTCTCACCTGAGGGCGTATTTGTCCTGGAGCAGGCCTTTCTGTCAGTGAGTCATGTAAACATTGTAGTTTTACATCTATAATTAATGTGCCCTTCTGTGTAAAAGCTCCTCCTGGGTAAAGCTGTGATTTCCCTTAAAACAGCATATAGAAACACATTTTATCAGTCATTTATCATCATTTAAATGCTTAAGAAACAAGTCCTTTGCATGTTTTCAACTTTAAAATCAGGAGGTCAGTATGACGGGAGTGCACAAAGCAGTAGACCGTTTTATACCTACAATACCACAGATAATAGTAGGTGGAAATTTACTCTCAGACGTACCTTGCTTAGGACCAAAGTGTCTGCTAAGTGAAGTTTTAACATTGTAGCAATGTGCCATATTTATCTCTTATTTGTACTGAGGATGATGTAAAGATGTAATTTTAACTGAAACAAAGTTAAGAGTCGGTTTTCCTGGTTGCAGCTGCTTGAAGTTTTCCTTTGATGAAACATTTACATAAAAACAGGTGAATCAACCAACATCATGCAGCAGTTTCTATAAATTAACAGAAATAATAATAATAAAAAAAAAGAACACCAGATATGTTTGAACCCTTCTCTTTTAATTATTTTCCAAGCACACTTTTTTTTCTTAATATATTTAAAAAAAAAAATCCCAACAGTTCATGGTTTGCCTCTTAATACTTGGTTCTTTAAAACAATAAACAATCCCTACCATGATTTGAAACGCCCAATTATTTACAGTGTAACAAAGTTCTGGTGTGAAGTCTGAAAGACTAAAACAGTACACAGTTGTGATCCATTTAGGGTAAAGGTGAACTACCTACTGAGACCCCTAACATGGCCCCCTGACACCAGGCCTGATGGCATCTCTGAGTTTCAGTACATGAATACATGATACAAGAACGTCCACATAGAAAAATATGAAACATGTTCTGTGCTGTTCCAAATCAAGTCTAACAAATCTATACATTGCATTTCAAAATAAACCATATTCTCGTGATCCAGCCTTCCAGTAGGTGCTTATAGAAAATGTTCAGTACTGTGGTAGAAAATCTGACATGCTCGTCTGTAGGTCAAAGGTGTGAACTCCTACTCCACAAAGCGCAGAAGAAGAGGTGCAGTGTTTCGTATTGACACTCGTGTTCAAAGAGGTTGTTCTGTGTGACTATTTTATATTTCTTAAAGATTCAAATTAAAAAAGCTTAAACATTTCCTACTTTTAAATCATTATAAAGGAGGTAATTATGAGGTGGTGAAGGTAATAAGAAGTAGAAGTAGAAGCATTTAACCACTAACCCATGGCTCCTCTTGTGTCTGCTTTTCTTTTGTTTATTTTTACTTGAATAAATAAAAATTAATCGCCTGAGGTATTGAGAAAAACTTTTTCCTACATTTTTTCCACTCTTGTCTTACTATGTAAAACAACTGTTTCACAGCAATTCCCTTAAGTTAAGTTCTAACTTATTTTAAAATTCTTAGCAACTTTCTTACAAATATCAAAAACGACCAAATATTTCTTCTTGAAGGAACATTTTTCTTTTCTACTCAAGTGTTTTCATTCAGGAGGACCCTCAAAAAGGTAGTTTGTGCAGCAGCACCATCCTTATATGTGGACATAAAAGCTAAAAGTAAAAAAAAACAAAAAAAACATTATGACAGCTATGCTGATGTCATGCTCATGCCTTAAGCTCACGTGAACAGCTAAATATATATATTTTTAAATGACATATGGCAGACATGACTAACAAGCACGATGAATAGCTTTTGGGTTGAGCAACATACCGTGATATACAGAGAGCTTTAACTCCTCAAATAAAAAGATTAGACAATAAAAAAAAAGGGATTTTCAATGGCAGCATGGACAAAATGAATTAAAAACACATTTACATTTGTCTTCCACTAAGCAGCTTTGAATTTGTCTTATACACAGGCCAAAAAACAACAAAAACTCTCAAATCTGAAGTCTGGTATGTTACCAGGACAGATGGAAAAATGTGGATATACAAATTCTATAAAGGTTGATAGAAAGATTCTGAATAACTTTAGGATGGGGGCAGGGAGTGTTAGGTTTTCTTGTTGCCTAGTCTTTTAAAAACACTGATAGCCCTGACGTCCATCTGGGCTCCCACAGACTCTCCCCCTGCTGCCACAGCTGCCCCAGTGCTGCTGCTTACCTTGGGGCTTGCTATGGTCAGTCTTTCCTGAGCCTTTGGCCGGGTGCTTGTCACCCTGTTGTCCTGTGTGTCAGCAGGTGTTGCTGATACGGCCGTGCTCGGGTGCGAGACAGGGAGCTTGCCCAGTCTCTGAAGCACACTAATCTTGGCAGGGGGGAGACCATTAGGGGAAGAAGATGATGAGGAGGGAGAGGTGGGAGTGTCAGAGGGAGGTAGTTTGAATTTGCCTCCAAGGCGCCGTAGGGTGGTTGGGGCAGGTTTTGTAGCTGGCTCTTTCCTCTGGGAGGGAGGGGCTCTCTTAAGAACCCCAGCGTACTGGAGGACAGAGCCTTCCCCGTCGCTGTCGTCCTCGTCTTCCACCACCATGTTCCCAGCCATTTTGCCAGGCTTTGGCCTTTGGTCCTCTTCCCCCCCTCTATCCAGTCGACTGAATACTCCGGTGGGCTGCCAAATATGAGCATAATGAGCATAGAGGTCTTTTTGCCTGCATCCAACTTAATGGAATACAAAGTGAGCTACCAAGAAATACAGACAGAACTCACCTTGTTAGTGCTCGTTGTTGTGTCTGCCTTTGATTCAGCCCCGAGTCTTGCAAACACAGAGGTGCGTTTCGAACCTTTTCAAGTTGAAGAGCAAGCAGCAATTAGAATTTTACAAGAAATTATACATAAGAATAATTGTTACTGCACAAGTGTTATAGGTTTTGTTTGAGTTGTGATAGCTGAGCCACGGACAAAGATTGAGCTTACATATTAACCAAAAAAATCTACTTGCTTCTGACAATACCATGAGATAGAAACTGAAGAAAACATTCATCCTCCAATTTGTAAGGATTGTAATAGAATCATGGAATCAATTGATCTTTGTGAGGGTTAGAGTTTTATTCGTTCACGTTAGCTAGTAAGGTTTTATTTAGAAGCATGCACTATGTGGACATATCTAGCTTATATCTTGAACCAGGTGACCTCAGGTTTTTTCTTTGGATGTTTTGTGTCATGGAACAGAAATATAAATGGCTGTAGGTAAAGAGAGAGATGGATGACATGCACCTGACAGCATCAGGAATGGGAGTCGAACCTGCGACCAGTACTACGGGGACTGTAGCCTCTGTACACTGGGTGCCTGCTCTGCTAACTGGAGCCTTTCTCGAGAACTACTTTGAGGTTTTTAAGTTAGTCAGAGTTTAGTCCCCCCCAATAATAAATAACAACAGTTCACATAGTTGCAACTCTTTTCAAAGACAGATCCCATAACAGAACACCTGACATGCAAAATAGCTTTATAGTCCGGAAAAACAGATCAAATTAAGGGGAAATTAAAAAGAGAAAAAGAAAAAAGGCTCGGACAGTTTGACAGATGGATCAATTGTTGGTTAAGTGGGATGAATTAGTGAAGGAAAGGTGTTACAGTAAAGACAGGCTCAGTGTATCAACCCTGAGTCGCCTCATTCAGTTTTAGTATGAAAGAAGACGATGAAAACGTTTAGTATTGATTAGCCTTGGTAACTAGTTGGAGCGGGTTGTAGGCGAGGCCATTGGGTCAGGCCTACCTTTCTTGGCCTGCTGGGACAGGATGCGGCGTGTACGAGGCGTGGTGCCTTTGGGCATGTTGATGATGTACTTGCCTTCCATCTCAGCTGTCACACGTCGGCGCTTCACTGCTTGCAAACCGCTCCCCTCGTCAGCTGGCTGACTTACAACTGACCAAGTAATGAGAAGAAGCGGATGAAACCGAGGGAGCAAAAGATGCGGCTAATGACTCCAAAAAGGATGGGAAATAAGGGATCTACCTGCTTTGCTGCTCTTGTTCCCCTGCATATTAGACACTGTGACAGAGAGCCGGTTGTCAGGTCGACGGGCTGGAGTGGCTGGTGGGGAGTCATTGCTCAAAGCGTTGGCAATCATACGAGTGGCAGCTGAGTAGAAAAAAGGAGGTGTTAGTTAGCTTGTTTCCTAAAGGAAGTCTATGAACATGTCACATTCTGTCCCCAAGACCAGATCAGAGGACAGCTGGGCTTCAGAGCTGTCGTCTAAAATATGCCAGATTAAACACAAGCTTTAAAAAAACATGTTCTGCTAGCAGATGAGGCTAATGTGCTTCTATCCTCTAACGTATTCATTTTCATGACTATTTGTTGTCTGACATAACAACGACAAAGCTTTTATTTTGCAAAACATTAGAGGTTAGCCCTTGTAGGATATTCCCACACAGATTGAACAGGACGCTAAACCTGATTCTTTCCTTCATTAAGTACCATAAGACAGCTTGATAACTGTCTTCTCTATTAGATGTTGCTTATTTTCAATTAAAGTGAAGACTTAGAAAAATGTAGATATCTTTGTCTGCCTGCCATTTGTTTTCCACAACAGCTGCTAAGTGCAATGTAGCAGCTCGTGTAACAATAAAAGACGGTGGCAGTCTGCAAAGACAGGCTCTATACAGAAATCACTACAATACCGTGTTCTGATGGACAACATGCAGTCATTGACAACCTAGTGGCAGAATATACACCAAATTCAAACACCTATTCATCATGATGATGCATCAGCAGTACCGTAACACTGCTCTGCTACGGCTGTAGAAGAGTTATCAGCAAGTAAGGGAGAATAGATGACTATAATTTAAAATGACTACTGGTTTCATTAGGCTCTTGATCAATGGAAGTAGCAGTGAGCAGATCAGTACATTTTAACTACTATGGTAATGAAGTATAGTTAGCTAAAGCCTTCAAGAATTGCTCATGCTCTCACTACATTTTCAATAAAATATTTGAAGTTCCATTTAAAAGCACAAATCAGGGCTCCTATGAAATGTCAGCCTCTTTGATTAAATCACTGCAGGTCACTGAGTGGTAGTGTATAACTGCTCATACCACTTCTAGAAAGACATAAGCCATACAATAAGACATATGGTATTAAAAAAAACCCTGTAAGTCTGAGAAAATGTAATATTACATACATAACAGCGTATGACAGTGAACATGTTCTACTAATGTTTGCTGTGGAAAAGTTAAGCGACCACACTCACGAGTATTGGCAGTTCTTCTGAGCTCAGCTTTAACACTGGTCTGTCCTGAGGAGATGGCTTCTGTGGCCATTTTGCACATGTCCTAGAGAGGGAATACAAATTACAGAGATTATATAAAGTCACAGTGAACAATGAGTTGCTGACCTGACAGTTGCAACGTCAAAAGACATCCATTCTACATGACTGCATTCATAACAATAGAGGAGATATTCAAGGGCTAAATTGTTTCTACATGCCTGCACCGATGACATCACAGCATCCATTTAAAAATACTTAATTTATTCAGAACATTTGACCGTCGGGTCTGCTCTCACCTGTCTGTAGACTTGCTTGGCATGTTTAAGAATGGCAATAATGTCCCCAATGACTGTGATCCCAAGGTCCATCATGATGTCTTTACTGAGGTCCATCAACATGTTCTTGTTAATTCTGCAGTGACAAGGAAAAATATAAATTACTACATGTACTTCCTTTCTCAATCTGGAGCTGCGAACAATAAATACAAATTTAATTACTTTATTAAAAAATGTTTTCATGACAGTCAATGCAATTATTAACAGCAGGATAAAACACGCTGATTACATTTTTGAATCTATAAAAGTTCACTAAGTTCACTAAGTGGTTAGTTTGGACCATTTTTTTTTATTCTTACCACAAGACCATCATTTACATATATGAGGGTTAACGTCTTCTCAGATGATATCATGTGATGATAATGTCGTCATCTTACATCATGTCTTTAAGACTTACTGCTTCAGACTGAAACCAATCAGTTAAACCAATTACTTTATCGCAGTGACGCGGTTCAATTGATGGAAGAGACTGTCACAACTTACTTGCACCCTGGTGTGTGATGATGCAAAGGAAACTTGCATGATCACACTACAATGCTGTCTGGCTTGTATCTTACAATTTGGCCCCCTGGCAGTGAGAGTTAAATGAATGTGGCCCTTGCTGTGACCAACTTTGCCCATCCCTGCTTTAAACGGGTAGAAATCCAAACAACAGTCGTGTCTGTAGCTCATCCCGAAGAAGAGGCTTTGATGAGGCTGCAAATGTTTTTATACGGCTACTGATTAGATCTCTAATAGAGCTGCTTCTTTCTAATTGTCTTGAATGTGTCAAACTACACGTCGCATTGATATAAATGCTCAAACTTTGTAGCGTCAGACTCCGTTGCTTGGGCCACCATTTCCATGTTGTACTTATTACGTCATGTCCAGTCTCCTAAGATCCACCCCCTCCCCGCCCGACAGGGACAGTTTGTCTGAGCGGCATTGTAATGAGATATATATTACAGAAAAGCAGGCATTTATGTTACCTGTTGTCCACAAAGGAGACTGCGTAAGTCACTGCGAGGCCGGCTGGGATCCCTGCATCCTTAAAAAACTGGATCCACTCTGAGGTGGCTTTTGGGGGAAAAAAATCAGCAATTATAGAACATTAAACGTTTGAACAACATTTAACAATCAACTAAATCACCAATGCTCTGGAATAATCTATAAATAATACTGTGGAGTAATGCTACAACTTTATATGAAACTGTGGACAACACTGGGAGAGCAGCCTGGCACTAAAACTGTCAGTGGGAGACATAAACCTGAGGAGACAGCAGCATGCTGAGGTCTAACACATGCTGACCACAGCCAGCTGGAGGTTATTTATAACACCAATTATGAAGTGTCGTCTTGTAGTTGGGAGTAACAGATACAGGGTGATGGGAGCTCAACAGCTGCCAGAACAATGGCTCAGTCCAACATGCTGTGACTAATAGTGATGAACTCACACAGCTACACACAGACAAAACTCACATGGTGGCACTTTAGGGCCTGACTCATGCAGACTCACACATGGTAGTCAAACATTTTCCAGTAAAGACATTTAAAGTCTGATTTAAGACGCCCTCATCAGGTTTAGATTTCAAATCAGTGCGTGTTAGCACAAGTTAGCACAAGTTAGCACAAGACGGCGGTGGATCACATTCACCCATCGATATCTTTAAATATCCAGGGCACAACCCTCCCTTTAAGCGTGTTTTAATAATTTTAAGTACAATGAAAAAAAAAAAAAAAAGGCAACAGAGCAGCTTCGCTGGCAGAACCGATTGTGTTAGCAGTCTACATTAGCATGTTAGCATTAGCTTCTGCATTGAATTAAAAGCGCCTTCGACTAACTGCGGCGTCAAACACAAACACACCACATTGCAGAAAATCTACCCAGTGTTCGGGATAATGTTAACGGACGTGTCCGCTGCGCAGTCAAATGCAGAAATAATTAAATTTCTCGCTGAGCGGTAACGTTTTTGTTCAGCCGGCCTTTATGCTCTCACCTGTTGTCACGGACGCCATGTTTACAATAAATGTGCGGTGACGTCAGATACATCCGGAGAAACTCGCGCTGCTCTTGCGACGTCACTTCCGTTAGAAAACCATGAACACTGGAGAGATTCGAATTCTGGACGCTAGAGAGCAACAGAGACTGTGTGAAGTAACACCGAGAGGCCTTCAGCGAACATCCACGATAATATGATGACTTGTTCTAAAAGTGTTCGCACTATGCTGTTTATTAAAAAAGTATTTAAACCGATGAGTAATGTCAACAAAGAGTAGATTGTTTAAAATCAGGAGACACAATAGGCCTACAAAAAGCTGTCATTTGGACAATTTTCTGGATGTAAGCCTACTATACACAATATACTATCCTGTGAGCTTTGTATTTCTCTTCATCAAGTTCTTAAAGATAATTTTTCTGATAAGCTTTCTGCCATTTGTTGTTGTGAAGGTAGGCTATAAGCTTTAGGAATCTTTATGGAAAACATCTTGTTCATTGCAATGATGACCTACTCTATTACCTTATTTCATGTATTGCTTTCAAACCAAGTTAAACTTTCATAACGGGTTAGTCTTTCCTAGCATATTCTTCAGTTAATATTGGTTTCCCCTTACATTTGTGTACAAACAGCATCAGCTCACTTCTGGTTTGCAGAGCTTTTAATACTAATAATAGGAGTGTCCTCTGTTTTTGACTGTTTGGGGGCTTTTCAACTAATCAAGAAAGTAACCCGCAAATTAAATGAGAAAAGAAACCATGGTGAAGTACAAAACATATACATGTACACCAGGGATGGGCAACTGGTGGCCCGGGGGCCACATGCGGCTCCCATCAACCCTCAACGTGGCCCTCAGGTCAATTTTTACATATCAATTAAAGAAAACATGACTACATCTGCCATGAAATCATGAAGAGCAGAAATATGTCCAGAATAATATTAGATCACTGAAGTAAATTTGAGACTTAATCGACTGTAATTGTTTTTCTAAACTACAATTTGGCCCCCTGGCCGTGAGGATTAAATGAACGTGGCCCTTGCTGTGACCAAAGTTGCCCATCCCTGATGTACACAAACAAGTTACGTTATGTTCAGCACCTGCAGTCTCAACTTGAATAACACAGCTGCAAACTTTCATTTCTTTTGAGCACAAAATACATACATGGGTCATGGGGAAGAAAGAAGACTGCCTTTGTAATATTGAGAGACAAATATGTTGTAATATGTTTATTTATGCATTTTCTTCACAATTTGGAAATACATGGCATTTGGTCAAACCATCTTGATATGAGACAGCTCACCCAACTTCTGCAGTCTAGAAACCATGAAATTAGTTGATCATGTAAACTTTTATACAGTAACAAAAAGGGCCAGAAGCTGAAGTGGACACACAAGATCTCAACACAGGGTTTGCAAAAGCAACATGGCAAGTTTTCATAAATTTTGGTCGAAGCAATGAGGATGAAGCTTTGAAAAACAATTTATCAGAACATAAATATGCTGTGCAAAAAGTTTTGGTGTACCAAAATATGACCAATTGAAGTCAGAGCATCACAAGGTAATCATGTGAATATTTTTGTGTTTGAAATAACTTATTATTGAAGTCTCACAATTCTACATCTAAAACAAGTTTCTTTGGCCCTTTCACTGAGGTAGCCAAAAAATAAAGCAAATCATAAGCCCTGTTTTAAATTTGACATTTTTGCTCCAAGAAAACACATGAAAAGAACTTTGCAAAAATCAAAAGGAATGACACATTAATGAAGGGATTGATTAGAAAAGAAGCAGCATTGACTCATTGAAACCTTGAAAGTGCCCCTACACATAATCAAACATACAAAGAAAAGATCAAAATATTTTCGTTGTCATGATTGTTTCAAAACCAAATGTTAAAATTGTTTAAGGATAATTTTTCATCTTTTAACAAAATGATGTAACTTAAGCAATACAGCATCACACTTGACATATAGTAGCAGTCAGTTTGAGCACTGTGTTATATGCTACATTATGTTTATCCAAGAAGATAGTAAGTATTGCATTTGATTTTAAATCAGCTTATGAATGGGAAAATTAACATACACAGCAACATTTGCCTTAGCATAGAAAAATAGGAATGCTCTTGTTCAGTTGACACCAATAAAGCCATACAGGTAGAGGTGCATGCAGTTTCTCTGTTTCATAATAGTAGATGATAATATTTATCATTTTCTTTCCATTTCACTTTAACTACTCCTTTGTGATTGTAACTTCATAGAAAAAAAAGCTTTTGGACCACTTCAACTAAACCCCAGTCAAAGATATTTGATAAAAGTATGAATCCTCTGTGAGCTGATAAGGGGCTTAAGTGTGTAGAGTGTAGGCACAGTACAGGGGCCCTCTGAGACCAACTTTAAACATCTTAAAGATGTTGCAGGAAATTGATATCAAACTCTGATGAAATCAAAGCATGATTTCTGGGCTCTTAGAGCTTTAGCTGCTGGAGAATTCACTGTTCATGGCTTCAATTCTGTTTATAATGTCCTCAGCGATGTGTGACCCTATAACCTTACAATGTGAAACTGCCTCGTTATTATAGTAAACTATAAGTAGCACCACATAAACCTATGTACATGAGAACTATTGAATATGTTTTATGCTTATTCTGATACACCAGAACATATTCTCATCACATTGCATTTGGAGAGAACTCAAAAGGCATCTTGACATCTGTACAAACACAGTCATAAATTCAACATCAAAATAAAATGAGGTCTGCCCATTTTCTGACAACCAAGAGCCAAATTTGAACACAAATCTACATTATTAATCCTGTAATTGTTGTGAATAAACATTTTTTATTTATTGAAAATAAAGCTTCTTATCCAGCAAATACAATCACAATAAAGGCTTTATGTTATTTAAACAACAAATTGAATACAAGAATGATTTAACAAGATAATGTTAATATCAAGGCTTAAACTGTGGTTATCCTTCAAAAACACACATTTCAGTTAGAAGTAACAATGTTATGGAGTGATATGTTTATACTGGACAGAAATGCATACTGGGTTATTAATACTTTGCCCTTTAAAATGAAACAGTTTAGTCTTTATGTTGTAGTCTGAACACTTTTAATACGTGTATTAACATTCAATCACACTTTTTTTTTTCCCCCTCATTTTGATCTGCTAAGGATCAAGTGGCATTAAGGTGTCAGTAGCATTAGGACAGACCTCACACAGAAAAAAATGAAGAAACAAAACAAAGGCGTTACCACAACCATCATCATAATAAACATACATTGAATGTAACTTGTATAGTGCTTTATATTGTTTATAAAACATAAATACACATTGACAGAGGCAGTGACATCGTGCTTCATTTTTAGGGACAGGGCAGTACTTTAATGTGTTATAGTCTTTTTTGTTCCTTTAGAAAAATATTCATTTTAAAACTAAACCTCAGTAACATCTTTTCTTGTTCTTCATTGACAAAAATATCCCATTTAAGATCCGCAAACATTCATACTTTACAATCATGGTTCATACACTTTTATATACATTTGATTTGTATATACGTATGTATATGCATATAGACTTTTAAGATTTTTTTTTTGTAGTGCACAACATGCCTCCAAAGTTGCCAAATGAAAATACAATAAAATAAAAAAACAATTGTTACAAGGCAATAATAGTAACAGTTATAAGGAAATATCTCGATTGAAAAAAAAAAAGACAAACAAAACCAAGATACGACAACAGTACAAATAAAAGCAGAGGTCTACGCAAAACAGATACACAAACGAACAAAGACATAAAAATATAGATATAGTTCTATATAAAATATAGAACAACTCTCACTCAAACATACAGGAAAAACAAGTCGTACAAATTCACAGGCAAAGGGACGCTCACTCCTCGACATCAGCCCACATGTTCTCCCCCCTTTTTTTTTCCAGGCTTGCTTTGTGCTCACGCCATATCAACCTCAATAAAGAAAGAAATAAACGGGCCAGGTGCCTCAGAGTGGACGGACGCACTCACAATAAACGCACCCCGCCTCGTCTCCGCTGAGAGAACAGAGGAGGTACAGAGACCACTGAGCCCAATGTTTAGAGGTTGTCTGAATCACTACAAAAAAACAGTCTCTCCTCTAAATAAAGGCATTCACATCTGATTGATTCTTAGCAAAACACCGAGCTGGTGCGCTGCAACAAAACAACTGTATCTTCAGTTCAGAGACTTTAAAGCGATGTTGTGTATGTGCGCATGTAGGCCCAGGGTGATGAGGCTCTGTGGTATGGAGGTGTTTATCTGAGGTCAGCCTTCCACACAGTTGGCAAAAGCAGGATTTTTTCTTTCTTCTTTTTTTTTTTTTTGCTTTGTTTTAAACATTTGGTTCCAAAAATCGATTGTTTGAATGGGCGTCATCACTTTTTTCATCATCTCCCATTTGAGTCTGTCCAGCTTGGTTGGGCTTCCTTCCTTAATTCCTCATAAACCTCTCTCCATATTCACTTTGAACAAAAGATTTATCTCATCATTAAAAAATGGCTCAGCAGGAGACAGTGGCATCTGTCTTGCATTTTGCGTTCATTGATTATGCGTTTATGTGCGCTTGTGTTTTTAGCTGCTGTTCTCTGTAAGGATCCGCTCAGAAAATAAAATATTCTTCTGAATCAGCAGGGTCCATGTCCTTTTATCAGAAGGTGCAAAATGGTGTGTAAGCTGGCTTGTCTTTCACTCAAGGTCCCAAGGGCTGGAGGGGGTCTTCGGGCTCTCAGGGGGTCGAGGACTTCAGAGAGAAGAAGAAACAGAGAGACAGAGGAGGAGAAAAAGAGATGGGCAGAGATGGGTCGCATGGCAGACGGCAGAAAAAAGTTTTTAAAAAACCAGAGAAGAAAGCACAAGATATAGTGGTGGCTGTGACAATCAGATCCCAAACTTGCCAAGTCCAAGCAGCAGATGGAGAAGCAGAAGAAAGTCGAGCAGATGAAGAGTAAGAGGTGAGCAAGAAATCAGCTGTCTGTCTCCCACAAGAAAAGACCCTGAACAAGGTGTCCTTCGTCCCTATTTCAGATTTGCACAAATACATTCAGCAAGAGGAAGAAGGGAGAAAAGGATGGAAGAAGGATGAGAGCAAGAGCATTGGGCAACCGACAGAGGGAACAAGGTGGGGGCTGTGGTGCCCTTTGGCATGTCAATGTACTGTACATGTTGAAGATTTAGAATATTATGTGTGAAATAATCCGGTAATTCAAAGCACTTGTGCTGGCATCTTAGACTTGACTCAGTCTTATTCACTCCTCTTGTCCATTTTCAGGTATACTGATCATATAAAAAAAGAAACTTTCTTTTGTTTAAGCTCAATGTTAAATGTAAAATCTAATATTATGTGCAACTATTTGTATGGCTCTTTATTGGAATGCATTATAGAATGTTGAAACTTTGAATCAATCATTCAAATGATTTTTTTTTCTCAATCTTTGAGGCTGATACTGAAGGAACTGTGCATGTACTTGCCTCTGGCTCTACTTCCAGCCAGCATAATGTGTGTGCATGTTGATATGTGTGCGCGTGTGTCTGTCGGTCAGTCAGAGCGCCAGCAGCGAAGGCGAGTTCAAGGAATCAGATGACTGCTCGCTACTGCTGTTCCGCTGGTTGGCACTGACCCCGCAGGCTCCCTCTGGGTAGGTGAACACAAATGAAGATGTGTATGAGGTGTTGTAGCTGCCAATGGCCGCATCGTCATGGTTACCACCACCACCACCACTGTCGCTGGCCATAAGGCACGGCCCGCCTTGTGTTGGCTCACTTGAGCCATAGAAAGAACTAGAAAACTCTACCTCCTGCATCATCCCTGGCTGAGACTGCGGCTGGACTTGCTGCTGCTGCTGCTGCTGCTGCTGCTGCTGCTGCTGCTGCTGCTGCTGCTGCTGCTGAACCGTAGGCTGGGAATGTGTAGAGGACGGATGGGCTGTGTAGGCAGGAGGCAGATAGAAAGAGTCTTCCTTCACAGCCAAGCCCACAATGGAGACAGGAGGATGTAAGGTCTGGGGGGCGAGCTGGGGCGGCACTGGAGGGAGCTGCGCTGAGCCCTGCTGGGACTGGTCCTGGTATGGGATCTTGCAATTGGGCTGATGGGCCACCAAGACAAACTCCAGGCGCTCCTTCTCCTTCTGCAGCTCAGAGATCTCAGCTTCCAGCTCGGCCTTCTCCTCCTCCAGAATGTCCGTCTCCTGTGGGCAGGTACAGAGAATGATAGACACAAGGGCATACGGACGGGACAGAGGTGTGTGAAATGGGTAGAGGAGGGAAGAAGATGCACAGCAGAAAGAGAGAGAGTGTGTTAGCTTCACTTAACCTCCTTCACCTTCACCTCCTGCAGTGTTTGTGGAGGTGGATGCTTTCATCACAGCTGAAAGACTTTCTTAACCTGCAGTTGGAAGGTGGCTTATGTAAAAGCTAATTAATCGTGCCCAATGTAACATGGGTACAATTGTCTGTCTTCAGAGCTATAATTGTCTTCACAACCGCTAAACACTCTAGTACAGTAATCCTCTCTTAAACACGCATGCACACATTTATTAACACACTGCAGTGTTATGGGAGGTAACATGGAGTATGGTATTATGATCATTACTCATTCTGGCAGTTATAACAGGGCAAAGCTCACCGACTGCAGTCTGTCTGTGAGTTCTCGTCTGCGGTTTCTGCATTTGGCGGCTGCCAGCTTGTTTCTCTCTCGACGAACACGCCTCTTCTCCTCTTCCTCAGGTGAAAGCTAGGATGAACAAGAAAAATGATCTGCAGATTAGGGTACAAGAGTTGCCTTTCATTTTGAAAAAAATATTTTGTGTTGTCCAAACAACAGTGAGAATGCCAGAAATGGCTAAATGTTTCTTCTTTTTTTTGGGGGGGGGGGGACAAAAGAGTATATTTTCTAGCTGCTCCCTCTTCCCACAAAGCTTTCCACAAAGACCTTATACTCTCTGCCCTCTTTCCTTCTGAAGTAACTTTTTTGAGAAGGTCTTAAGTTGATAAGAAGTGATTGGTCATCTTAGAGCTTAACATCACAGTACAAAGTAGTTAGATCTTATTCTTTCCCACCTTTGTTCATACTGTACCTACAATACACATGCAAGAGTCAACAAGCAAACCATCAAACACACACACTTACTAACACACCAACATCTCCATCTTCACTCACAGACTCGTCTCGTGTACGGCGGCTACGGGTTCTGGATTGGCGGATGGGGCCCGGTGCGGGGCCTTGCGTTTCAGAACTTAGAGGGTTGAACCCAGACCCAGAAGAATAACTGGGGCCCGGCATGTCATATGGGTCAACCAGTGACACTGGCTGGGTCATGGTTGTGGTGCCAGTGGACCCACTATGTCCAGAGGCCTGGGAGGAAATGAGGGTTGGTTGTACCATCCACTGCAAGTCCTGACTGGTGGTGATGGCGGTGACGGTGGGCACAAATGAACCAGGCATTTCCCCTCCAACACTAGTTCCTGGCCCGCTGCCCACTATGCTCTGGCCAGCTCCTGCTGACACACACTCCTAAGCAGGAGACAAGAACAAATCTAGTTTTACACAACATACAAAGCCTCCATCCATAAATGAACACATTAAGACACAGAGGTAGCAAGACCTGGAGGAACAAGCTTGGAGCAGCTTAATTTTTCTTTTCCAAAAAAAGAATTATTGTTGTCATCATTGCCAATCTCATATAGACTGTACCTCAACAACACAATGCTACAATATCTGTTACTCCAAATGCACTGATATGAATGTATTACAATACATTCTATTCAAGATCCTATGTTAATGAATAGAAGATTTCATTTTGAATTAAACATAATAAGATTATAAAAAAACAAGCAAAACAAAACAGTCTGAAAAGTAATAGGTAGACATAAATCCTATATATCCCTTCCCCTTTCTCTCCTATATTTTATTAATTCATATATTATTCCATCAGAGATCCTATGTTTAATCATTTAAATACTAGTGAAGGTACACGAGTACACAGGTTAAAAATTGGCATGTCAACCTACTACTTGACTACTTTAAGTTAAGTGCTGTGATAAGTAGATTAAAAATGTGTTTACAAAAGTTTTTTAACTCTTAATCTGACTCTCAAAGATAGTCAATCGTTCGAAATTCGACTAAAAGATTTATTTTAAAAAATATCAGTACGCCTGTTATAAATTGAGAGTAACCCCTGCATTCACTGTTTACTTATAGGTTTAGAGGTAAGCATTATATCGGTCAAAAAACACCCCTGAAGTTTAACTCTGTGTCTTCTTTTATATTAGACTAGGAGAAGGAAGTATCGAGTTTCATTAATATTCATACAAAGGGTGTTATGACATTGGGACAGGCAGCTCTTAAAACGGCCTCCTCGACCAATCAGCGTCCCCCCTCCCTCCTTCTTCCTCCTCCCCCGTCACACCCCCGGTGTTCCCCTTGGCAACGCGACGTAGCACTCCAAAATAGAACAAGCATTTACGTCACGGCGAGGCCTGTGAGAGGAGAGCGGAGAGCGTGGAAGGAGAGAGTAGGGCGAGGCGGGGCTTCCACCCTACGTATGAGAGTTCCAGGACTCTGTCATCCGTTCTGCGGCGTGCCGTAAACTAAGCACGTTGTCAAGGCTCGACAAACCGGTCTTTTTCAACAACACATAAGTAAATAGATGTACATCGTTGTCCGGTGGTATACTTAGCTCGCTGTTTATATCGCGTAACACAGTGACTAAAAATAACATCACTAGTAATAAAAGTGGAATAAGTAGACTATAGGCTACAACTAAAGTCTGCAAAATATGATTCAATTCATAGATAAAAAAAATTACAGTGTTTGTGATATGTAGGCTAAACTATTTTCTTTCATGATTTTAGTTGCTTTTTTAGTATGCAGCGACAAAGCAATAATCTTACCCGTAAGCAAATTTTCTTATTAACCGTAATTTCTCATTTTAAACTATGCTGTTAAAACCGTTTGGTTTTAAAAACAATAAATCACACAATGGTCTCCGTCAACATGCAGAGCTGATTTATGGTTCATGTAAAATGGGCTATAAGCACAGTTCAGTCTTTGCATACGGCCATGCACTTTTAAGATATGTTACATTTGCTTTAAAAAAATTTTAAAAAATGGTGTCATTTGCTTTTTTAAATCAACGTTATTATTTTTTTTTTAAATGGGCAAAATGGAATTCCAACATTGTTAACATGCAGTATTTCCCCCTATTAGTCTCAAGCTTACCTGCGGAGCACTGGTGGTCGGCGGGCTCCCGAAGGAGTCCACGGAGGAAAGGTACTGTGACTCGATGGATGGAGACGAGCTTCCACGGGATCCGCTGTCTGCGTCACCGGGGAACCCTTGGTACATCTCCCAGGAGGGACCGAGAGAGAAAGAGACACCTGCAGGTACCGGAGTGTTGCCGATGTCACCTGCAGCAACAGGGCACCGGTATAACCAAGAAGATTAGGAACTAAAGGGCAGGTAGCATACTGTAAGAAGAGAATGACTCATGTTAAAGGTAAGCCTATGACTTTGTAAATCTACTTTTAAAAGCCGAATCTGTAGCTATTTTTGTCTGCATACATGTATCGTCGAAGCGTTTATAGTCTAACCAACGGCATGCCGAATTGTTCTGTAAAGCCCAAATAATAGTCTAGTAAATTGTACAACTGACCGGTGGTGATCTTTTTGTTACTCCCCGGTGAGATGCTCTTGGTCTCTTTCCAAAAAAGTTGCATGAAGAAGCTTTAATCCAGTTCCCCTTGTTAAGGGGGAAGTGTCCAAGTTGAGTCCGTTAAAAGGTCCGCTCGTTTAGCTTGAAATCCTCGGAGATATCGTCTTTTGCTTATCAAAAATGTGATTGTAGATCCATAAAGTCCGTTCACTGTACGACTGTGGACTTTCGCCTGTATTACGGTGCACAGTAGCAGATCTTGTCTTATGAATGAATCCATCCTCCTCGAGTAGACAACCAAGGCATCTCTAACGCGAGTAGTCCCGCCTCGGAGTTCCGCTGACGTACATGACCATATTTGTGCTTTTGTGCTGTTGTGTTTGGTATCCTTGGTGACGTTCGTTGAGGGATTCCCTCTCCCACTGAAATGGACCAGAAGCTCACCTCGCCGGCGGATAATAATAGCTGTTTTTTAATACTACCATAAGCACGAGATATTTCTCACCGTCTGACAATTTCTGAGAGGAAATTTTAAGACATTTCGGGTGATGAAAGTGGAAAGTTTCTATTTAGGAATACAAGCTATATAGGCCTACAGCTATCAAGGTTGGAAAATGTTTGGGTCACGGCTACGTCAAGAGAAATAAGCCTATATTCCAATAATGTCTGATATAGATATAAGCATTTGGGGAGTGTTTTGCGTTCATTTATGGGTTGAAATATTAAATTATATTGATTTAAACATTGTTTTAGTCCTTATGGATAAAATAAAAAAAGGCTTTATATGGCTACGGATCTTCGTTTGGAAATCATCAAGGCAATTGTATTAGCCTACCTGGAACATATTGGCGCTATATAAAGACTACATTGTCTTATTTAGGCTACAGCCACAGAGATATCTAGGTCGCTCCGGGACGGAATCCCTGCACACATGCAAGGGAAATCCTGCTGTAAAGTTTCTCAGGACACGCCCTCGGGAGTCCTCTGAGTGCTTAACTTGTAATCCGAGGAAAGACTCCTTTTCATGTAGCCTAGCCTATGTCTAAACACTCCCCAGACCTGAAATAAGACACTGTGACAAGTATGGATTAACTTCTGGTTTAGAGAAGAAAGAAAAAAAAAACACCTTCAATAACAGATAGCCTACATTTTGAAAACACCCAATCACTCGGTTAGATTTAGCCTTCATATTTATGGATTTAGTGTAGGCAAGACTATATGTCAAAGAGGACACGGAGCAGAACAGCAGCCTCATTCAGTGCGATAGAAAAACATAAATTGGTAAACAGCAGTGTACTTCTGTCATGGACAGTGGGCAGCAGTGACGGTAATCAGCGCTTGTCATTGCAAACATCACCCAGCCGAGCACAAAGTGATTCATTATCATAGCCTACATGCGGACACCAGTGGGAATGTGGCAGGTGGGAGGTTAGCTTTGCTTGGGGGGGGGGGGGGGGGGGTGCTCCACAGGCTCAATACGGGAATATTGGTGGCAAATCATGAATGAAATTCTAAAAGATTTTGTTTGTGATGTCAAAAAAAAAATGTCACGGGGCGGGCATGATTCTGTGTACAGGACCAATGTGTGAAAAGGCGTGAGCAAAAGGGAAGAGTTGGGGATAACAAAATATTAGTCAGCGCTTACATCAACGTCAGAGACGAGGATCCACGGAGGACGTTGTGTCCCATCCGGGCTTCCATTACCGGTGCTGTGCTGCTGAACCGGGATGACTAACTCCATCGATGTAAGTTGCTCATGATGGGGAATTATTGAGGTGAATGGCTGATAAAGCAGGCGAACATCCCACATGCACGGGGAAAGAAATTACAATATCAGCGGAGTTCACAGGGTAAGGGCAAAGAATCACAGAGGTGATGACTAACGAATAGCCTTCCGCTATGATTACAAATGATAACAAATTTACGTATACATTTTCCACAGCTTACAAAACATGTTTTTCAGTCTTAATACTGAACAGTGTATCGCAAACGGTCAGCGTTACCAGTTAAAAATTAAGATATTTATGCTTAAACAAGCTGGTCCGGACCATGTGCTATCCACGGGTCTTTCTCTGCTCAATGTGTGTAGCGTTCCGTCGCCCTGGATACGCCGTTCCCTCTGACGCAAGGACGTATAAATTTGGTCTTTTTTGTTATGCCGCCTAGCAACCGGTTTCCGTGGCAACACACTCTGAGTGACAGACAGCGGCAGCACACAACATGGCTTCCGGATTCTTTCAGTGAAAAGGAACAGCGGCGTATCTGAGTGGCCTGCTGCAGGGGAAGGTTGTTGTTTAAAATCCGTTTTAACCGTCAGCTTCTATTGTGTTTTGTGTCGAGGGGATCGCAGGGAACGATAACCTGACGTTTTTAATGTTTACTAACCGCGTGTGACGGTCGGACCTTGTAAAATGCAAATATGTTTCATAAGTAGGCCAACGCTCAACGCACACGTTTTTGCATTTTGTTTGCCTATCTTTTTTTTTGTAACCGCTGAATGTGTTTGTGACACGGAAACTGAAGGACAAACTAAACACAGAAAGTTGTCACGTGAGATAGCCTCACCAAACAGTCATTTTGTTTTGAAGTAACAACAACTTTTTCTGAAGCAAATTCTGTAAGACTTCTTTCCTCAGCAATCTTGTCAAGCCAAAGTTTATTCATAGAGCCTTGCACATTTAAACCAACCTCAGTTGATCACAGTGCTGTACAGGATTTAAAAAAAAAAATGGAACTGGATCAAATTAAATCAACTTAAAAATCAATAGGCTATTTCTTGAAGATTATCAATTAAACCTCTGTTGTTTTGTATGAATCCCTGGATAATAGGCTATAAATCAAATATTTATATAAAACAGACTAAAAATGTATCATAGCATATCAGTTTGTCAGTCAAGTAACCTACATCCTGTTCAGGTTTCATGAAAGCTTTTAGTTCTACAACATTTTCATCATACATACTGTAATTGTAAAAACAAACAAAAAAAGGTTATGTCTTTATCATTTTTATTTCTCTTACTGTGTGTATCTAAATCACTGTTTCAGTCATAACTACAGTTTGAGTGAGACACATTATGGAGATAAATAAGTCAATCCTCTCTTAACTATTGCATTCCCTAAAGTTTGTTTGTTTACAACATGTGGTGGTCTAGACTCCAGTCGAGCAAGGTAAAAAAAAAAAAAAAATAGACCTAGAATTGTCCAATGCCCCTCGTGTGCTTTGTTTTGCTTGCCCCCGTCTCTTAGTGTATTTTCGGGAAGCCACTAACTTGTGCTGTGCTCATGAGGCCAGCCCTTATTTCCTTTTGGAAGGCGGGCCATGTTTGCCTGATCCTGCCCAAAATATTTGTTACCAGGCAACGACTAGGCCTGTCCCACTTCAGAGTGGTTTTGTTTACACCCCTTCTGGCTCCTTATCCCAACAACATTGCATAACTCTCACAGGCTTTCCCCACCTCGCGGAGAGAAATTTGATCGGCCTCTTCCCTTCAGCCAACCAAACCGTCTCATGCCCTCATACCATAGCTTTTCTCTCTGCCGCTCAAAGATTTCCCTCAGCCTTTGTCTGCTGTACAGAGCAACAAAACTGAAACTGAGACTAAGACTGATAATGAAAAAACTTTGCTTCATTTGACTGCCGGTTCAGCCTTTGGCTAAAGATTCCTGCAGACTATTGTTACAGTATCTTTTAGGTGAAGGTTCATGTCTTTCCCTGAATCTCTTTAATAACATCTATTCTCGTCTAAATCCATTAATTCTTTCTTGGCAAAGTAAAAGGACTCCCTGCAAGCCTTTGTTAACATGGCTTTTGTCTATTGTATCAACTGAAATACTCCAGTCTAAATTAAACCAGGAGAGCCCTTTATTCAGTCATTTCGCAGATTGAACCACAAACTTTTGAACCAGGGACTTGTTCTTTTATTCATTCAAGCAATGCGTTCCTTTTCTTAGACTGATATTTAAAACTTAGTTGTCATTGGATGTATAGTCATTATTGCAATCCAATTGGTCAAAGTCATGAAGGTGACTTTGAGTTAATGCCTTCATTTATAAAACAGGTTGGACACAACTGTTTCATAAGAACAACAGCCCCTGCAGTTTGAGGAGGTTTTGTCTGAAACATGCAGTTTGAGCTGTCAAATGGTTTGGTGTTGAGTGAAATCCTAAAAGAAAAAAGAAACGCTTCAGCTGCCTTAAGTCTTCTTTCAGATCAAGAGTGAAGAGCAAACCTTTCATTCGGGGCAGAGTGTAGTTTCTCAGCTGACTCTGATATTTTGTAGCTGTGCCACAGAAAAGGAGCGGAGCTGGGAAACCGTCTGCATTGTTTTTGTTAGAGCCAAATAACAAACAAACTGCCTCGATACCGGCGTCCACCTTCTTCTGATTGCCTGTAGTATTCGTAGGGGTAGAGTACTTAACCACAGGGCAGTACACAGAGCAAGCAATGCTTCTTAGAATATCTGCATAACAAGGCGTTTGACAAGCGTCAGACTACATGCCACATTATTGTCCTTACTTTGGGTATATATACAACCTCAGGATAAGCCCAGTCACCCACCCTATGAAACAAACACATTTTATTTAATTAACAGTGGAGTCTGACTGACATTAAGAGAGACTTGGGTACTAGAAACACTCATGTTTGGACAAGCACTCAACCAGCATACAAAACCAACAGTGTTATTGGTAACAGACATCATAGAGTAAAGCTTTAAAATAAACGTAGAGCAAAGCTTTAAAGTAAACAAAAGCAATGAAGTATATAGTTTGAGGGAAGTTTGTGTTTCCAATTTAAAAAAGGGCATGGTATAGTTCTACTGTATGGAGTACATTTTGTCTTAATTTAGCGCCCCTTCTGGACAAAGTGGTACCTGCTATATCTTTGCTGATCCTGTCCTTTCCAAGCATAACTACTTAATATTTTACTGTGTGAAATGTTGCTAAGAAAAATGTAAACATAAGGCTATTCCAGTGTGTTTGGCATTCAAAATATCTTGATAGATGTAGCCAATTTCCATCATGGTTGGTTTTGATAGGTGATTCTACAATTTCATTTAGCAGACGCTTTTGTCCAAAGCAAAGTACATCTGAGATTAAGAACAACACACGCAAGGATCTGGAAAGGAGGAAACAACGTCAGTAAGTGCAAACAAACAGCTTTAAGTGCGATCGGACACACAGGTGCTGACAGGCTGTGCACAGAGACAATGCACAGGGTGTTATTAAGTCTCATCACAGTATCTCAAAGCTTTCAAAAAAAAAAAAAACGTGAACCTCGGTTACAAGATTTGAATAG